AGGTTAACAACGAGTTGACTATAATTGTCAAAAAGTCACACAAGGGGCACTGCGACCGTCATAAATAGGAACCAGTGGCCAATCTTCTGAATTTTGACCACTTGATCGCGGAGATGCTGCAATGGCTGTTAAGTGTGAAAAACACTCGTAAGTCCCTTTTCTCAGTGCTCCTGCAACCTCAAACGGTCACTAAACAGACAGTCGTAAGTCGAGGACTACCTGTAAGAAGCCAGAGATCTCCACAACCTGCCCTTTTATTCTCTCCCAAGCTGTCCGAGGAAGCTCACCAGCTGGTCTCCTTCATCCTCGTGGTACAACAGGGGTTGTTTCAGGGGCCGGCGTATATACGTGTGCGTGGTTGTGCCCTGGAAGGATGTGGCAGCAAATTTCGCAAACTTATATTCCGATAAGTCCTCTTCTTCTTCCTCGGGCAGAGGGAGGGACATGTCTAAGTCATCTTCTTCCAGCACCCTTCCAACTCTTTCGAGATCCTGCAGAGAATCCAGCAGAAATTTGACTCAGCTCAAATCGGTCGTCAGGATTCCAAATAGCATCCAAAATTAAATCAGAGTCCAAGGCAAAGGATTCCTCAAAGTTCCAATTTATTAAGAGAGCCATGTTGGCACATCTGGGAAAACCCAGAATCTGAAAGCTTCCCGGTTTTCCCCACCCAGTTGAAAGTTCAAGACCTTGCATCCCCACACCCACAAGCCCATCCCATGGTCTAATCTTCCACTGCCATGCTGGCAGTTCCACCCATCCAGTTCCAGTCAGGTGCAGATGTGCAGAAACAAAGGAGGACCTTGGCTTCCTAGAAAGGAATTTTGTTTTGGCTACATAGCATCTAACTCCGTGCAATCCCCCACAGTCCCATTTTCCCACAACAGAAAAGACATAGTGGAATAATAGAAAGCGTGGCAGGCCAAAGATCCGAAAGGAATATGGCTGCAGGGAACTGGACTTCGTTTTTTCTTTGAAGAAGTTTCACTTCTCATCCAAGAAGTTTTTTCAGAGCCAAAAGAAGCTTCTTGGATAAGAATCAAAAGAAAAACCAGAAAGTCCAGTTGTCTCTTGAAAAAGCACCTTTGGGACAGTGAAAGAAAAGGGTTTTTTAAGTCTTCTTTATTTTCAGTACTCCAAGTTATCTAAATATAATGTTAGCAATCTTCAATTAATATGTATAAACTGTGCTGTACTGAAAAAAAAATGTATCCAGGTTTATAAAAACATAATAAAAAGGAAAATGAAAACGTCCAGAGCTTAAACTCATGCCACATTGGACCACCCTTATTCCCAAACCCAAAACGGTTGTCTTGTGAAATCAGTTAATGTAGGGAAAGGAGGGTAGAGTTAAAAGAGGGATCAGCCTAGAATGCCTATGTAGTCACAAACAGACTAAGTCCTTGCTCCTTGAATTGAATTGGCTTTTATCTAACCCCTAGCAGCTGCTAACCGTTAGTTGAGAAGATTATGGGTGGGCTGTGTTCAGCAATAAATCAATTTAATTGGAACCTCACATATAAGACCTCTTTTTTCTACGCCTGACAGTTAATATCTTATTGCTTATTAGAATTTCATTATTACACTCTAGAGTTATGTACATTCTTTACCCACTGCCACTGTGTTCTTAATTTATTCTATTTGTTCTGTACACAATTTTTTTTAAAATCATCTCTAACCGTAAATAAAATAAAATAATAATGTTATGGTCCCAATGGGATGTTCAGATAAAGAGTCCAGACTGTGTCCCTAAACCTCCAAGCGCATTTTTATTAGCAGACCAATGAATGCAACAACAACTCAATCCACAGCGTGCTTGTAAAACATTCTGGCTCCATTACTACATTTCCTGGTAAACCTATTTAAGAATGGGAGACATTCTCTCTTGCTGAAAGAATATTGTGGTGCTACAAAGCTAAGCCCCATGGCAAATGCTTCTCCCCCCTGGTTACGATTCGACTGCTGTAAATATAAATGGTGGTCTCACCATATGGCAAAGGCACAAATATAAAAACTCTGTACAGACCATGAAAAAATAACATTCCCTCCAAGTTGAGGGTGGCCGTATTCATGGGAAAGCATTTTAAGCATTAACGGAAGGATAAAAACCACGCCAGAGTTCATCTGCTTTTCTGTCCTCAGAAAAATAATTCTAATTATCTTATAATTAGAAATAAATATTCTAACTTAAAAGCTCTTCATTTATTTTTAATTGTATAGGTTGCCATCAAAGAACCAGATCACTTTTCCTGAAGTTTTACTAGCTGAAATGTTTCACCGCTGGATTTTTATATCCTGAACTGAATTTCAAAGGGAAGAAAGCATCCAAATGGAGCAGAAAGATGGGATACAAATTTGTTCAATAAATAGAATGGATTTAATTTTCTATATTGGTTAGGTTAGCAGTTCTGTTTGATAGTTCTTGGTTTTAATTTTTAAATGTTGATGTTTTTATTTTCTTGTTTTGCTTTTATTTATGTGAAGTTTTGGCAGCCTTCCTTCTGTGGAACAGCTTGAGTACAAATAGTTTTTTTTTAAAGCCTCTTTTTGATCAAGCTTCTGAAAAGTAGTAAAAAAACCTGGCTCTGAAATAACATTTGGAGGATGTCAGATTTTCTTTTCTGATCTATATCAGCTATTGTAATTTATATTACTTGTGATTTCTTTGCTTTCTCTCATCTTGTCTTCTAATGTCTGTTTTTGAAGCAGAGCAGCATAGAAACACCAGCAATAAATAAATAAAAAATACTACACATTCATTATGGCAAAATGAAACACAAAAGGCACATCGCTCTTTCTAGGGTAAGTGGAAAACAAAAAGTACGACTCCAGGTGGTTTTCCAGGTGAAATTTAAAGTTACAATGGAACATTTTGAAAGAGTAATGTAATACTTCCCAAAGGGTTACTGTCAGCCTCTGCTTCGCTGCTGCTTCGGCTGCCATTGAAACGGGGAGGGGGGGCATGGTATTTGGGAGGGATTTACTACTTGTGCTGGAGGAAGATTCTGGAGTTTCTGCTGCCTGTCTTACTNGGGCAATATGCTGACTCTCTGTAAACCGCTTAGAGAGGCCTGAAAGGCCTATGAAGCGGTATATAAGTCTACTGCTATTGCTATTGCTATTACCCTACACTTAAAAAAGAAACTCCAGATTCTTTCATTTAAATGTCGCCATCTTATGGGAATTTTCAAACATACCTTTTTTTTTTTAATACAGCTCCTGTTCCTATGGAACAGCCTCTTCCCTGTGATTGACAGGCCCCTACCCTTCTATCTTTCCATAGATCACTTAATATCTGAGCCCAGGAAGGGATGAGAATGTGGGTGCATCAGATGCTGTCGCACCAGGATTTTCTCTTTTTAGTTTTATCGCTGTTGATTTTTATACCGTTTGTATCATTTTATCCTATTTCTATAGTGCATTATCAGTTTCAAGCCACCCAGAGCTGTTTTAAGAGGGGGCAGCTATACAAAAGTTTTAAATGAATAAATGAAATAAATTCACGGAACACACATAAAACCTGTTCACTAAAGGAAGGGGGTGGGGAAGTTATTTTTGCTAGCTTTAGCTTTTTATATATTAAATAATGTATGTTACCACTAGAGCCAGTTAATGTCAGCTTTTCTCCAGTTAGAATACATAATGAACACTAAATATATAATCTATCTATATATCCTCCCTTGGCTCTCAGAGGCTGCTTTTGTTTAAAAACATTCATACAAAAGCATGGTCGCATTTATTGCATGAAATCCTCTGGAAAATACAAAGTAGATCGAAGAAATAAATTTAGAACCACATTAAATTTAACCTGGTAATCTTTGTTCAATACTATAACACCTAAATGAACATACATTTAATAGATATAACCTAATTTAGCTTGACGTGAGCCGACATTCATTGTTGCATTTAAGAAAATTATGGTTCACACTCTAATTAAAATCCATGTAGAAATCTGACAGGGAGAATATAATGTTTCACCACATTCGCTCAGTACGATTTTTATTTTTTACTTTTCAACAAATCGCCTACCAGCCTGCACACTTACCGCTGATCTGTTCCATGAAGCATACATTGCCATTGGTGTTAAAAGCCAAAGTGTCGGGAGTAATGCAAAGGGTGTGGAAGACTGTAGAGTGGACGACGTTCTTCAAAGACTGACTACACTCCAGGCAAACAGCCCAAATATCCTGCTCAGTAAGACAGCTATCTTGCAGTGAGAGAACATCAGCCAGCGACACATTCTCCTGCCAAGACAAAAATCCACAATTACTCCACATTTCAGCACAGTGAACTTGATGAAGCTAGATCCAAGTAATGCAAAATCCACCACCCCAAAGGTCGTCAGGATTCCAAATAGCATCCAAAATTAAATCAGAGTCCAAGGCAAAGGATTCCTCAAAGTTCCAATTTATTAAGAGAGCCATGTTGGCACATC